GCGCAACGCGCGTGTCTGCTCACAGCACTTGCAGCTTATCCGTATAAAGCCTCGGACGCGTAATTTCTTTTTTTTTTTTTTTTTTTTCTCTTCGTCGTTGCAATACGCTCCTTAATGGAGAGCAAGCGCAGGAGCGAGGGCGAGGGCGTTTAGATTCTCGAGTCGGTTTGCTGAAACGTTTCCTCCTCCCGGTCCCGGTTCGTCTTTCTTCGCGGGAGTTAATTACGCCAAAGTAAAACGTCCCGCGCGCGTTTCATTTCTCCATTCGCAATTATACTTTTCCCATGGAGACATCCCGACCGTGCGACAGTTGCAATTGCAGCTGCAGCTGCAGCTGCGGCTGAGCCGCGATGCATTTAGTACACGCATCTCTGTCCGTTCTCATCCGGCTGCATCTGAATTGCACACAACCACCATCATCGCGAGCTGCGTGCGTATTTGCGGACAAATGCGAAGCTAATGAGCGCGAAAAGGGAAGAAATTTGTCCGACGTTTGTAGAATTACTCTACCCTAATCCGTAAGTCGAACGTCGACGGTAGGTGGATGAAATAAGAGAAAGTTTACGAATTACGCGGCCTCGATCGTTTCTCAAAGTTGACTCGCTCTCTAATTTAAGCAAAGTCTATTATCGTTTCCCCTTGAGGATTAAATTTAATTAGTTCACATCTAGACTGCATTATCTAGTCTTCGGAGACTCGGACTTAGGCTACTTCCTCCATTCACAGTGAAACTGTCGCTTCTCAGTCAAAAATCTAACTAAATCAAAGAAAAAAAATATCCTCGAAAGTGATAATTATTCTTATTTTATTTGACTCTATTTACTATTTAATATTATTATTTGGTAAAAATAATTTTTTATTATTACTGTGTTACAAAATATTTACAATCTGTCATTTAGAACAGAGGAAATTAGATTTTTTTGATGGACCAGATTTGAAATTTGAAGTTTTTGTTGCGGGCTGCGGACAGCAGCTAAATATAGAACTTATATTTTTTGCCCTCTTTGCCCAGCTCGTCTTTTGTGTGCATGCTCTCACCGTTGCTCGATATTGCACTGGCTCGTTTCTGAAAACACTCTGTATACATGCCGCCTTTCTTACAGAAAAGAATTCCCTTTTGTAAGAGAATGTACGTTTACCATTCGAAAAAAAAACGCAAAAAAACTCTGATAAAAAGAAGTTCGCGAAGATAAAAAAATTTGGCACTACGCGCTAATGATGACTAGTTTATTTCTATTTTATTTTTTTTTTTTTTTTTTTTTTTTTTTTTGCGAGCCAAGCTTTAATACTGCAGCCTGCCATTTGCATATTCCTGATTTAGAAGAGTGCAATATTATTATTTTTTTTTTTATTCGTATCGCAAACACAACAGCAGCGCGAAAAGTTCGAGGGAACATTGATTGTCTAGATGAAATAAGAGACGTGAAGTACCGCGGTGCGCAGACTGACGTACATCGGTACCATGTAATATCCTCGTGAATGTAGTGCACGATAACTCGAGCTCCCATCCACTTCCCTTAAACGCGCTTAAACCAACGGCGGTCGAGCACGTTTGTGTAATGCATGAATGTAACGCTGCTTTACGAATACATGAATTCCGCCGCTACCGTGAAAACCGCTATGAGCCTGAAAATTCTGATTACCGTCGAGCTTCGCGAGATTATACCAAAGTTTGATCAAGCCGCCGTCTCTGTTGAAAAAGATTGTGCTTGTAATCTACTCAGACTACCTCAATCCGAAAGCTAATCCCACTCTGGTCGCAAACGTAACGATTCTCTTCTTCATGGCATTTTTAAGAACCGACGCTCGCAGGATGGAACGAGTTACTTAGGAATCGCATTTCTTATTGAACAGCAATTCGGGGGCGCTGACGTGTCTTGGCTTTTTAATCATGTATAATTTTACAAACGTTGCAAGTTGAAATATTAATTCCAGGTCGGTGATATGACGATTAGAACGAAATTCGAGGCGCACACACGAACATGTGAATATAAAAAGTCTCAAAGTGCGAATTTTTTTCCCCCTCCCCAAGAATCGGCACTTTTTCGCGGAACTTAATATTTATTTTTCTAACTTGTCTTCGCCTCGAGGGAGAAATTTTTCGAGGGACTGCCCGACAATTTCGGAGCATTGCGCATTTTTCGTCCTCCCATCATCGACTGACCCTCGCGTACGTACCCTCGAAGCACTCTAACAGCCTCTCTAACAGCCTCGTATTGTCCCAAGAACAAACGGGAGCCGGGCGAGACGATGGCTCGACGAAAACTCGAACAAATTTCACGTAAATGCGCGCGCGATCGATCTGCCGGTGTGTCGCACGCTCGGTTCTAATATATCTAGGAAACGTACGTCTGATTTCGTCTATTTCCGAGTTTGCCGAATTTGATTGCCGCTACTCAGGCCCGCTCGAGATTGATGAGGACCACTCCAAAATTTGCAGTGCCCTTGCAGTGCCGATTAGCGGGGCCATTATTAAAGAAGCGCGACAGGCGCTTCGCCACGATCTCAATTTGCTTAACGACTTTGCAATTCACATCGTTCAGCGCATATTTCGCCAAAATTATAGCGGCATACATCCCGTCGGGATGTTCCGTAAATGATCGTGATCGATCATTCGGGAGATGAACGGAAGATCCCAAAATAAGGAAGAAAGTTGACATGACTATAGATTTGGAAAAATGTTTGCGTTGTTTTCGTTGTTATCGCCATTTTTACGTTAAAATGTGAAATTGCTTTGCTTTCGAAGCTTTTTGTCAAAATTGTAAGAAGGGATGGGATCTTAAGTTTTATAACGTAATTAAAATCAAATAAAAGTTGCTAGGCTGCTTTAGCACTATTCAAGTTGCACAACTGTGAAGTTTTTGCAAAGAGATATCAAGCTGTATCTCCAGAGTTGTGCATCCTAAATAATGCTAAAGCAGCACTATACAGTAGCAGCAGAATTTGTTTAATTTTGTTTAATTATGTTATAAAACTCATAAAGATCATCTCTTCTTTCAATTTTAACGAGGAAGAATTTGAAAGTAAAGCAATTTAAAATTTCAACGTATCAATACCTTGAAAACATCGCATTTCCAACTTTTTTTTTCTTGTTTTTGGATTCTCATTCCTTCTGAACGATTGACCTCCACTTTTGAAACATTCTGCATACTTTTCTATCCGTCTTTCAGCGGCTGATTTTAAAAATACGATCTGAAATGATGCCCTTACGTAACTTTTATTTTGCCTGAAAAAAATCTTATTTGTCAATTATGTCAACAGGGAACTTATCGATAAGAAGATATCACTTATATATTCGAATGTGAATTCGTGCCCGAAAGAAATACCACACGAAAAAAAAAATTTAACACTGAAAGAACGAAGTAGTATAAATGATATATGATAGTGGTCAAGGGAAATATAGATTTTATCTGCATATTGACGAGCAGAAGTCGCCACCTCTTGATCGAACCTCCAATACTCATTCATATTTCTCGATTTATATCGGCGGCGCGTTCACATTTATATTCTCAAATAGTAACGCGAAATGCGCGAAATAATACGACACGTGCGACACAAGCGTCCATTTATACATCGATGCATATTGATGGAGAACGATCTATATCGATCAAACGACAAATGCGAACGAATGGATTACCGACTATCGCATGTCCCCACCTAAACTTCACTCGACTACCCCCGAACTTGTTGCGCTTTCAATCACCGCGAAGAAGAAACGCCAACATCGTCGTTGGAACGTCATCCCAAATCTTTGTATGTTTCACTCACAATGCTTCATAATGTCCCGAAACTACTAAAAATCGTACTTGACACTCGTCAGATGAACACAAGAATCACATGTGTTAGCTAAAAAAACGAATGCTCGGCACGACAATTACTTTGATATTGAAAGATACGAACAGACATGATCGCGCTATGTCATCGCAACGATTCATCATCAAATTTGGCATTTCGTTCATGTGAGACTTGTCTGAAATAAGTAGAAATCCATATAACACATTTTATCTGAAAGACATCCTGAGAATATCTTTAAGACGTCTTCTTACCTATGGGACGTGTTTAAGAGACATTTACATTCCTTGAAGATCTGTGCTGGGAAAATGTAGAAACGTAGAAACGTAGAAACTTCGAGCGATAATATTTGAGAACTGACTAGTTAATTTAAAAGCCAATCACGTGACTTGGCGTATTTATGCGATGTGGGGAAAAGATGTTTTTTAGCGATACAACACCTTGACATAAATACGTATATTATATCGTTAAAGTAATTATAAGTGATACCTATTTGAATTATTGTTGTTCGGACCTTTGCTTTTCTGCAACGCCAGAAATGACGTAGCATAATCGTTTTATTCCAAAATTTGATATGATAATCGCACATGTTTTATGTAAAATGCAGTGTGTTGAATGAAGAGAAAGATAAATTTATGTAATTTTTTGGAGAACTTTTCTTTTACATCACGAGGTTTTATTCCTTCTATAATATGATATTTTATGGTGACAATGATTTTGGCACATTATAAATTTAAAATGATGATAAATATTATAAACTATAGTAATTCCAATATATCACAAATGTTTTTTATTTTTTTATATAAAAATATATATAATATACATAAACACATCAAAAACAAATTTGTAATTTATTTACTACTTCTTTCTTTACTTATTTCTTTTTACTACGCATGATATTCTATGTATTTTTTAATTTACTATCTAATTAGTAGTATAATATTTAAGGCACTGTATAAGTTAATGTTTCAAATAATATTGCACGACAAATGTTTGAAGTTTATTCGAATGTAATTCATAAGCTATTTGTATATGCAATTTTTTCTATTCTTTATTTTGTAAAGAAGATAATATCATTGTTGCATATAATTTGACATATATTCGATATATATATACATAATTTGATTTGCATAAAAAAACGAGCAGACTTATATTATTGCTATCTATGTAAGCTATCATATAAGACGGTACATGTGTTTTTGTTGCAGGAAATCTATTCGTGATAGCGGCTATCCTATTAGAGCGAAACTTACAATCCGTAGCAAATTACTTAATTGTCAGTTTGGCTGTCGCGGATCTTATGGTCGCCTGCCTCGTTATGCCTCTCGGAGCAGTTTACGAGGTATGTATCTTGTTAAGGATAACTATCGAGCATCTTGTATCGAATTGCTTGGCATAAAAACATCGTAACACAATCGTAAAGTGCTTTTGTGCTCGAGAATACGATCTCTCGCGAGACTCGCAAAAGGCAACGCTTTACATCCTCTCGCCAGCGATGTCACTGCATAAATAACTGTCATTCCAACGCAGAGAGATGTCTGTTTCAGAAATCTCAAAATGATAGTGGTGGACATCTTCCACTGCTTTATTTATAAAATTATAATAAAACTAAAAATAAAACTGGAATAAGATATTTAAATTGTAATTTTAATAAATGAGCTGACTACGTTATCTTTAACAGATTAAATCAGATAATTGAAATATCGTTTTGATCATATTGAAAAATATCAATTTTTGAATATCTGCGACTGAAGGATATATGTGCGCGAATTTTATTTGCTCTTTATCATCGTCTCTTCGCATTCGCGAAATAAGGATTTTGCTGAATTCTCAATGGAATAATCATGCCGCCGATCATTTCTTTCACATACGAAAGTCTTTTCTCGCGCGTTACATTTTCATTGTTAAACTTTAACCTACGGTCCGATGCAGCCATTCACAAGTTTATAACGTCTGCGGAAAAAACTATGCGGATTCATACTCGTTTCTTTCGCGGTTTTACGACGCCGACGCGCCGACATTGTGCTTGGAGGAAAAAAAAAAAATTATGCAGAAGGAGGCGAGCACGCGCGTTCCCGTGAACGAATTCAAACGCTGAATTCTTTTGCCTTAGGAAGTTTGTTAATTACGTCTTATTGTAACGACGGCAAAATATCCCGGCGAGAACCGGCAAATCGCGATACGTCAATTGCAACAATTTATTGTGTGCCATAAATTTTCGCGGAGAATTTCAGTAATGAAGAGAAATCGCAGAAAATGCGAATTACGAAGAAGAATTTAACAATAATTTATTAACGGGAGGGACTTTGATTCGTGAAAATTGCGGTAAAATTCGCAATTGGCTACATGCAGTAATTACGAGATGACGAGATAATTTGCAGTAAATTTCACTTTGTAGTATATCATATCGCGCCGCGTAATTAAATATTCGATATCGCTAGTATTGAGATTTCGAGGAGACACGTGCCGGACTTTAATGCGCGTATCTTATTGTCGGCGTTTAGAATTTTATCTCGATCGTGGCATTTTATAAATGCCACAATCTCAAAAAGGGACTTTAATGTCACGACCGCGATCTTTAAAAGCTACAACGGTTTTCCACGCCGGGATATCTCTTCCGGTGCGCCCAGCGCAAACGCAAATGACAGAGAACGTTGTTACACATATACATATTCAACAATTAACGTGCGAGTACACAGAGATAACAAGCGATATAGCGTGTGTGTGTGTGTGTGTGTGTGTGTGCGCGCGCGCGCGCGTGCGCGCGCGTGCGTGCGTGCGTGCGTGCGTGCGTGTGTGTGTGTGTGTGTGTATGTGGTGTGTGTGTGTGT